TTACCATGGCAACTTAGTTGCAGTTCAACGAGAACCCAGGAGAACCGGTAGCCTAGACCCCCGCAAGGATCAAAGAAGTGCAATAGATGCCTGAATAATTCCCTGTGGCCCGAAACCTTGTTCTAGTCATTCACGCCCGTTTACTAGATCTCTTATGCAACCCTAAGCCCTAAACCCAAACCTAGTGAAACCAGGGGGTCTCGGAAACTGTGCCAGCCCCCCCGCTAGGTAAGCAGGAAACAGCTTTGATCAACGTCCCGTGGGGAGCTGCAACGATGAATTCCGCTCCTAAACCCCATGTCCCAACTGCAATGGACAACTATACTTTTCCGTACCCCTAAACCCTGCTATCACATACCCTCACAAACGTATTCTTGTTTTGCAGGCCCCCTTAGGCCCTCGTACTAAGCCCCATCCCGTAACCTCAACCAGACTTGTCCGGGCTTCTGGTTTGGAAGCTGTGGTTTCGTATTCCATTCTCGGATCCACATGTGACTACGGTGTTGGGTTTAGGGTGTTCAGGGTTTTAGGGTGTTTAGGGCTTTTCGGGTTTAGGGTTTATGCTTCTGGATCTGCCGTACATGTTGGATAAAGGGTAACCGTGTAACCCTGAAACCCCAAACCAAATCGAGGCGTAAAGCCCAACACCCTAAACCTTCAGTCGAAAACCCTAAACCCTAATTTAGGGCCTTAAGGTAAAAGCCAGAAAGTTGGAATCTGATTATCCTAACCCTTCTATGGTAAATTATAGGGTATCCTACCATGAAACCATATTCCAACTTTCTGGAGTTCCCTATAATAATTAGAATAGGGTTTTGGGCCCGTTACACCATATTCATAATACGGAACCCCCAAAATAGTATAGGTACTTGTTACGGGCCCCTATATTCAGCACCGAAATCCTAGGACCTAAAACTCCCAGACACTTTGAACAACTCTAAGCAACATGATGCATGGAGGCCTTAGGTGGCAGATCCTAAAATCCTAGGGGGGGGAGGAGGCCTTGAAGGACCTAGTAAGGCTTGTCCCAGGAAGTATAGCCTGGTGTTTAGGGTTTAGGGTTTAGTCCCCTCCCCTACCACCCTCCGCCCTACCGTCCTAAGGGCCCGTATGATAAAATCTGCTCGTTGGAAGCTCCGCCAGGGCAGCGAATGTTCAAATACTGCAAATACCGGATGATACGGCTGATGGACAGAATCCTGCATCACATAGGGTTCAGGGTATAGGGCTATCGTTGGAAACAATGTAGATTTTCTCCTCAGACCTCTAACCCTGAGCTCTAAAGTTCAGGTCTAGTCGTCATTCTGGACAGTGCAGGAGTTGTCCATCAGCCGTAGTTTCTCAAGCTTCCTGGACCCTCTGGGGTATAGGGCCTGAGGTCTTTGGGGATTTAGAGTACTAGGGCTTCAGGGTTTTAGGGCTTCGGTTTCTCTTATGGCTGCAGCGGTGGAGTCCAGAACTCACAAACCCCATTCCCGGAACCCTAAACCCTAACCCCAAGCGCAACAGCTAATGGTGCTATCGCAGGACACAGCTGAAGGCCTGATCCGATAAACAGCAGAAGACGTGGGATCTGGCAGTCTGCCTATTCTAGGAGCCTTAGTACATCGAGTATGGTTTTGGGGAGAACTTATGCCGCTATAAATCTCGGAGGAACCTTGGGGAGATTGAGGCTTCTACATGCCCGAAGGCACGAGAACACCCTACCCTAAAACCCTAAGGCCATCAAACCCTAAGCCCTCAAAAAGAAACCTACCCCCTTCAAGCCTGAATTCAGGGTCCAGGAAGCCAGTGCCGGAGAAACTTCCATTTTTAACAATAGGGGCCTTAATGATTACCTATACCATTTTGGGGTCTCCTTGGTATAATAATTCAGTAATATTCCCTCAAACAATATTCTAATTATTAAGGCCCCGAAAATCTTACAATCCTTATAGTAACCCTTATAGACCCTTTATAGGCACCTGTAAAAGGAACCAGATTTTAGAGGGGTCCTATTCCAATTATTAAGGCCCCTGGACTAAATCCCTATTATAGATCCCTCCCTACCCTTATAGTAGCCTTTAAGGAGCTTTAAAGGAAGCCTATTCTAATTATTAAGGCCCCTAGATTCATATTTCCTCAAGGCTTGGTCTTGCTTGGGACCAGGTTCTCGGAGACTCTGAAAGTCCCTGCTGTTAGGAAGTTTAGGTTTTAGGGGTTTGGGGGTTTAGGGGTTTAGGGTGTAGGGTTTAGGGGTTTAGGGGTTGAGGGATCAGGAGGTCTTGGATTGCACCTTACGCCTTGAACCATATGCTTTTGTATTCGTGATATATGTACCAGGCTCTTAGAGAACTGCCAGAAGGTTTTAGGTAGCACCTCAAGTTCTAGGAAGAGCATGGATAGTTTGTAGTACTCTTCCTCAAGATTCTTTTGTACATCTACATTACATGTTCCCCAACTCCGCATTCCACCTGTTCAGGCCCCCATGTCATTCTTGAAAGCCTCCACTAAACCCTAAACCCTCAACCCTGCTGAACCCTAAGCCTTCAGCCCCAAGCCCTCAGTTCTAAACCCTGAACCCGAAGCCCTAAGCCCTCAAGCCTTAACAGGGAACCCAAACCCTTTGCTATTCCTTCATTGAGGGGCCCTGCGGGTCTCCAGGTGCGACAGGGCCGTGGTTGACTCTGCCACAGAGACACATCCCAATACCTGCTGCCTGTTTCAACTCTTGCAAAAGCGGTCGATCGACAGTTTAGGTTTCAGGGTTTTCGGGTTTACCATCTAGTTTGTCTGTAGTTTTCTGCAAATTCCATGTTAGGGAGCATAATGCGATCCAACAGAAAGTAGGTTTGGGTAGGTTAGGGTAGGGCTTTGGGGTTTTAGGGCCGAGCCCAAGCCTTAAACTCGTAAAACCGCTGAACCCCGAACCAAAAGCTGGGCTTTATGGTTCGGGGCAACCCAAAATCCAAAAGCCCGAAGCCTGAAACCCTACACCCTTAACCCCGCAACCCTAAAACCCTTCAATAAACCCAAAAGCCCCAAAGCCCGAATCGTAAAGCACAAAAACCCTTAACTCTAAAGCCCTAAAGCCCTAACGCCAAAGGCTTGCAACCTGAAAGCCCTAAACCCCCACAATCCGCATCTGAATGCCCGGACGACCCTACACCCTAAGCCCTAAGCCTCTAAACCTTAAACCCCTAAACCCTGAGCCTTCTCGGTGACGGCAAGGCCATGCGGGCACCGGGGCATCTGAGCCGGAGCCAGGCAAGCAGGGCTTCGCGGAGATTCTGCTTAGGGTGTTTATGGATGAGGGTTTAGGGTTTAAGGGGATGTTGGGGGGGCTGGTAGGGTTCCTAGTGTTTGCTGCAGCTGTACTTGGAGAAGTTCAGTTCGGTTTAGGGTTTCAGGGTCACGGCTTGCTCAGTCATTCATCGTAACCGGCCGTCATCATCATCGTCCTGGTCCTCGTCCTCATCCTCGTCCCCGCCCTCATCCTCGTCCTCGTCCTCGTCCTCCTCCTCCTCCTCCTTCTCCCCCTCCTCCTCCTACTACTCCTCATCATCATCATCATCCTCGCCATCGTCATGTGTTTATCGTCATCTCCACGTTCATCGGCCATGATTATTTTCTTTCTTTATTTCTCATTCCTTCTTCTGCCTTCTGGATACTACGTTCAACGCGCTCGTGCTCCTAAGCCCCGAAGCCAAAGCAGAGCCAAATGGTCCTTGCTCTTCCACACACGCCCTAAATCGCCCCATCAGAGGTCAGAACCGGCTGTTCCTCGATGATGCCGATGCGTTGGAGTGCTTCTACGTGGGGGCTCTGGGGGTGCTACAGTGCAGGTTTAGGCTTCCCGGGTCCATAGGGTTCGGTTAGGCCGGTTCGGGGTGTAAGGTTTTAGCGTTCAGTGTTTATGGTAATCATATGAGGGTGACGGGCGTAGCTTTGGGCATCAAGAGGTTTGGGGGTCAGGGATTAGGCCCTACGCCCTACACCCTAAACCTGTTATTGACATCCTGGAGCTGGGATTCAGGGTTTGGTATTCAGGGCATGGTCTGGCTTAGTGCTTGGACTGTAGTGTGGACTGTAATGTGAAGTCTTGGGGTCTAGGGTTTTATGGTATAGGGTTTAATGTTTAGGACTGTAATGTAAGGGGGCTGATGGCCCCAAAGAATACAAGGATTGAGTCGGATTGAGTAAAATGGTGCTTTTGGGGGCGGGCTCGGGCGAGGGAGGAAGCCTGGGCTATGCCCGGCCGGGGACGAAGCCTAGTAATATGGCTGTAGGAAGTGCAGAAATCGCCCGGCCGGCCCTTGAAACTTTGCTGGGCTCCACCAGCCTCACAGAGTTGATGGCCTGGCCTCCCCAGATAAACGCTTAGGTAAGCAACCCTAGACCCAGTCTCTTCTTGCTGAATAAGTTTTAACATAAATTTGTGAAGATATGGTACGATCTGATATTTCAAAGGTGGCCTCGCAATGTCTTGCATTTGGGCCCCTTCAAGCCTTTCTGTAGTTGCGGAAGCCATGCTTCCCCCCCTCCCAAAAAACGATTAGTTTTTTCCTTGATCGGGTCGACCCCCAAAACAAAGTCAGGGCTCTCAGTTAAAATTCCAAGGTTTGCATGGTCGGGGCTGCCCAAACTAGTCAAGCCTTTGCATTGGCGGTGTGGGGTGTGGGTCTCAGGGCCTAATTTCTAGTGCTAGTGCTAGGGGGTTAGAAGCAGCGAAGTGGCTTGTTGTCAAAATTATGGTCCCCTTCTGGGTACCCTAAATATTAGGTGCCTTATTATAATAAGGACCCAAACAGGGACCCTCATTTTGACAACCACCCAAGTCTTAAGATAAAGATTCATCACCTCATGATGGTGTGGGACCCAGTTTCCGAACTCCTGGAAGTCTCAAGCCTTGAAGCGCTCAACCCGGAAACCCGAAATCGGAAAACCTTGCACCCTGAAGGTTGCAGGCTTTACTAGTATGCCGACAGCTGGTTGGCCTGGTGACGGCCCTGTGCGGGAAGATGGCTTTCGTACGTCCACGGGTGGCAGAGGGACGCATGTACATCTTCGGCCGCAGCGTGCTGCAGAGCCCGCCGCTCACAAGCTCAGCCCTGACATGCTGATCGCAGAAACAGAACCGGCAGACATTCACAATCTGTGTTCGGCGAGATCGACGACTTTCAGGGCGAGCTACCGATGGTCATAAACGTGAACCACGGAGCGCGGTCATTTACTTTTTGACTTGGGCATTGCCGGCCAGGACTGTCATTTGGTTCAAGTGTAAGGCTTGCTGAATGCACTCTCTTGTCATGTCGGAAGTTCTGGGAGGGCCTCCGGCGGAGGGACTGGTTTAGATCGTGTTTGGTTGGGCTGGGTTTATGTTACAATGTATAGGGAAATAGGGATTTACGGAGCAGGTCTAGCTCACTGGTTGCAGGGATTTGCGGCAATATCAAAGTCAGAGGCTTCAAGCTTCCTGGTGTTTGCATGTCCCAATCCCTAGTTCCCCAGGTATCCAGGCTAAGCCCTAAACCCTAAACCCTAAGCCCCTAAAATCCTAGAAGAACTTGCAGTTTTTGGGTGCTTTTTCGAGGCTTTCCTGGAACTCATGTTGGAGCACTACAAGGAGCGAGTCTGTCCGCCGTGGGTTTGCTTGCGGGTTTCGGAGGGCTCAGGGCAAGGCTCTAAACCCTAGAGAGTTTATTATTTTCTTGTTTAGGGTTAGAGGTTTGATTAGGGTTCAGGGTAAGGCTCTAAGCCCTAGAGAGTTTACTGTTTTCTTGTTTAGGGTTAGAGGTTAGGGTTCAGGGTAAGGCTCTAAGCCCTGGAGAGTTTATTGTTTTCTTGGTTAGGGTTAGAGGTTTAATTAGGGTTTAGGGTTCGGGGTTTAGTGTTTAGGCTTTGCACAGGCCAAGGATCCAAATGTTCGAACCCTGGCAGAAAGCACTATCCAAAGAAATGTGTGAATAAGTCTGTCGATAAGTAGCTGGATAGATTGATAGATAAGTAGGCAGATGATAGATAAACAGACAAGCAAATAATATTCACTACAAATACATGCACCCCCATACACACATTACATTACATATCTACACGCACACATGCTCACCCGAAGGTACTCCCCAAACCTCACATCCTTAGCCGGAAACCCTCAAGCCTCTGTCCTAAAGCCTTACCTGTCTTTCTGACCCTAGCCTTTAAGCATACACCACACGGCGCAGGAGAGTGCTCTTCGCTCCAGCATGCTGGAGTGCCTTTTCTGAAGAGCCAGGGCTTTTAGGGCTTCCCGGGTTCCTTGGAGGGTCGGGGGACTTAGTAAGTAGGTAGTAAGTAGACTTAAAAGTACCCTAAAGGGGACCCTCATTGGGGTTATGGTACTTATAAGTCCCTAAAATAACCAGTTACTAAGTCCCCCGACCCTCCAAGTAGGGATCTGCTGAAGCGTGAATCAAGAAAGGTGGCTCGGACTAGCTTCCCAAAAGGGCAGTTCTTGCGCAGATGGTTGGGATTCTTTTGCCCGGTGCTTGGCTTGGATCACTAAGCCGCGCGGTCCACCTGTCAACAAGCAGTCGCAGTTCTTATCGGCACAGGGCTCGGGAAATAAGGAAGTGCAGTAATTAACGCCTAAACCCTAGATCCTAAACTTGAAGGAGCTCAAAAAAGGCCCTAACCGAAACTGAAGCAGTGTGTGTTTTTCACCGCATTTCAATGACACGACAGGACGGCCGCAAGGCAGAAGAAAAGAACAACAAAAGCAACTCAAGCCAGAAGCACAAGTGTCATCCCTCAAAATCCCCACACATAGTAACATGTCGTGTAACACAGTAACACAGTGAAATGTCGTAGCATCTCGATAAGTATCACACTATGTCGTGTGTCAAGGCACCTTGCTATTCCAGACGATATATGATCAGCATGCGTTATTCAGCAAGTCCGCGAAGGAGTGATGGGAATCCAACCGTCACCCTCAATCCGCGCGCCTAAGTCCTTAACCGCTAACCCCCCAGACCTTTGACCGTCAGGCTTTGATGGGCTAGAGGAACCAGTTGCTACATTCCAGGAGTAAGGCGTCCGAAACCATACACCCCATAAAGGGGTGATGGGGTAAAAGCTGCAAGGAGGTACGGAGTCAAATTCGAAGCCCTAGCAAGACTGATGAGCCGCCAGCCTAGAACCCTTCCCGAAAAAGATTGACGAGCAACATCGCCCATCATTTAGAAGGAGCACCGAATAGCAAACCCTAAGCCCTCAAACCTAACTCACATTCACCAAGAGTGGCGATGTGCAGAAAAGCTTGACATTGATCGAATAATATACGGTCCCGAATTCGTAAGTAAAATCAGCTTCTTTTGGTCCTTGTGCGATTTTATCATATATTATAAGGTATCTGCCCGACACGAGATTCGAATAATTCACACCACTTTATAAGGGTCGGTTTGGGGTTTGGGGCTCGAGTCCTGCATTAGCCATATGCAGCCGTGTGCAAAGTGTTGCTCACTGGGGATATGACTCCACAGTATGGGGCTACGGGCTACATATGTTCAAACTCGAATTGAAGCTCGGTTTTTTGAGGTGTGAAGACTTGGCATAGCAACTGCATCCGCCTTGTAGTCCCAACTCAAACAACAAAAATATTCCATAATTGACAATCAATCTGTAGTCCAATTCAGGGTTAAGGCTGTGAATCCTAAAACCCTTCCGAAGCCTAAACCCTAAACCCTAGCCAGTTTGGCCAGGCCGGCCAAGTATTTCTTCACTGTGACTGGGGACCTCAGATCTTGTGATCAGGTGCGACTACAGCGGTTTAAGGGTTTAGGGTTTACGTTTATGGGTATAGGGTTTCAGGGTTTAGGGAAAAGCGGGCTGCTTTTCAAGGGTCATGTTATGGGGCTTGGTAAGCTTAGGAAACAAGCTTGAGAATAGGGCAAGTATACTAACTTACATTTATGGAGACTGCTCAAACAAGGATGCAATGGGACTTGGTAAGTAGGCTGAAAGGGGTGATCATACTTGGAAGTGTAATTACCAGTAGCCCCAAGTAGCATACCAGAACCTTACTTGCTGCGCCCCCTGATCCAACAAGTGGGTTTCAGGGTTGAGCCTTCAGGGGTAGTGTTGAAGTGGTGAGTGCATATGTATGGACTGTTCAGGGGTCGGGATCAGGATCTACCGTAAGTTTAGTTCTTATCAGTTGTCCTAAACCCTCAACCCTAAACCCTAAACCCGACCCTCCTGGGATAGGGCCTGAATTTGATTTTCTCCTTGGCTTTTAGCAGGGAATGGGGGAATGGGTTTTAGGAGCTGCTATAAGCGCACCCTGATTAAGGCATTATCATAGGAATCCATTCCCCCATTCTGGGCTTCTGCAGGCCAACGTTCCTGAGGAGCCTAAACCCTACATCCTCAAACTACACCCCACACTGAGCCCTAAACTGTAAACTTTGAGCCCTGAACTGAACCTCAAACCCAAAAGCCTAAACCCCTAAACCCTAGCTGACCTTGAATATCGCAGGTTTACTCGGATCTTGGCCACACTGGTCGCCTGCTCTTTTCTGCCGTCCCCCCAGGTCTCAAAGTTAGGCTTGAGGTTGTGGGTGTAGGGTCATGGCTTTGGGGTTTGGGCTTTGGGACGTAAGGTCTAGGGTTCAGGGTTGGATTTTACGCTTTAGGGCTTCGGGTTCGGGTTTCGGATTTAGGTTTGAAGCAGCCACTACTGACCACTTTATTGATTGCAACCGCCCTTGGATTTGATGTTCAGCGAAACGGTTCAGGCACTTGCAGCGAAGGGTTGTGGCATGTGGAGGTCGGTTCTCAAGTCAAGTTTGACAGACTTTCATGATCTTGAAGAGAATTGCTACTGGGGCTTCAAAGGCACCAAGTTCTCAGCCCTGTTGATGTCGGCACGCTCGTCATACAACTCCTATTCCAGTTCTTCGGCCGATGGGTACCCTTGAAGAGGGCGAGCTGGGACCAGCACCAGCGAAGCCCTTTCCATCAAGCTGCTCGGCAGCGAAAAGCCCAATGCTGCGGCTGCAGAAGCCAAGTACATCAGTGATCGCTTCTGGGAAGCCTGATATGGGGGCCTTGATAATTACCTAGACTATTTTGCGGGGCTTCTTGATTGCACCTAGAGTATCATACTATACCCCAAACCCTATTCTGATTTTAGGGCCCCTATATTCAATGGGGAAAAGGAGGGACCCTTAATGGGGCACCCCTACCCTATAATGGGCCATATAGTGGGTACGTATATAATAGCTATATTAAGGGTATATACCTAGGGGTCCTTTTTACAGGTCCCTCCTCTTACCCTTGGATATATTACTACAATGAGGTGCTGAGTAGGGCCACGAGCAGGAGTGCGGACTCAGAGCCGGCAAAGGCAAACCCATCAAAGGCGGTCCCTTGGCGGACATCTTAGGGTTTAGTGTTTAGGATTTAGGGTTTAGTTATTTGGAGTTTAGGGTTTAGGGTTTAGGATTTAGGGTTTAGGGTTTAGGATTTAGGGTTTAGGGATTGGGATTTAGGGTTTAGGGTTTAGGGCCTCGGGGGCCAGGGTGAATTTGCTCGCAGGAGTCAAGAGACGCTACGTGGCGATGGGGGTGTCGAGGTCGACGGGATATCTGGGATTTGGGTGGTCACGAAGGTATCAAGCCCTATAAACCCTAAACCCTAAAACCCGAAGCCCTATACCCTGAACCCTAAATCCTTAAACCCCTTAACCCTAAACCCTAAACCCTATACCCTGCACCCTAAATCCTTAAACCCCTAAACCCTAAACCCTAAACCCCTAAACCCCTAAACCCCTAAACCCTATACCCTGCACCCTAAATCCTTAACCCCCTAAACCCTAAACCCTAAACCCCTAAACCCCTAAACCCCTAAACCCCTAAACCCTAAACCCTAAATCCTTAAACCCCTAAACCCTAAACCCCTAAACCCCTAAACCCTAAACCCCTAAACCCCTAAACCCCTAACCCTAAATCCTTAAACCCCTAAACCCCTAAACCCCTAAACCCCTAAACCCTAAACCCTAAATCCTTAAACCCCTAAACCCTAAACCCCTAAACCCCTAAACCGTAAACCCCTAAACCCCTAAACCCTGCACCCTAAATCCTTAAACCCCTAAACCCCTAAACCCCTAAACCCCTAAACCCTAAACCCTAAATCCTTAAACCCCTAAACCCTAAACCCCTATACCCCTAAACCCTGAGCCCCTAAACCCCTAAACCCCTAAACCCCTAAACCCTAAACCCCTAAACCCCTAAACCCCTAAACCCTAAACCCTAAATCCTTAAACCCCTAAACCCCTAAACCCCTAAACCCCTAAACCCCTAAACCCCTAAACCCCTAAACCCCTAAACCCCTAAACCCTAAACCCTAAGCATGGAGCTTGCGCGAACAGATAAGCGACGAGGGGAGGAGTCGAAGCACCATGGGAGAGCAGTCCTGTCAGCACGATATCTGGGAGTTTCCCGAAATAGGGTTTAGGGTTTAGGGTTTAGGGTTTAGGGAATTTAGGACCCTAAATAGTAGGATCCTTATTAGAAAGACCCCCAAAATAAGGCACCCCTCATTTTCGGACACTACCATCTAGTCATTCTTGCTATCGCCCACATCTTTTTCTGCGGTTAGGCTTTCCAAGAAACTGTACGACAGTTGAGGTCACATACTCCTGTCCTTGCTTGTCGCACTGTGGATGTAACCTTGATAGTGATCGCCATTTCCAGCTGCTAGGACTGTAGCTATTCCTGCATCTAGGCTTATCACGCGTTGCACCTTTTCGTCAGTATCATGAGCAACATTGGTGTTTTCGGTCTTTTTGCGCAGAAGTTCTGGATTCTCTTCCTGCGCTCATTGTTCGCAGTAAATATTCTTGACTACCTTTTTATGCGGCATGGCGGATATGGAAGTGGCGCTTGCCATTGACCTATGCCTGTAAGAGGCCATTGTTTTGAGTACTTTTGGGCTCCAGGCAAGCCTTAAGGCCAGAAACCCACCACCCAGCCCTAAACACTTGAAGCTCTAAAGCCTGACACGCTAAACCTCCACCCGAAATCCTAGACTAACAACCCTATAGATCTATGCGACATGACAGAGAGAGCGCTTCTTGAGGCTCGATTGGGTGTTTCCTGGGCCCAGCCGCATTCCTCCTGCAGCGAGGCAGGGCCCAAAAGGCTTTGCTTGGTGGTTTCGGTGCAGAAGAGCTCCATAAGGGGGGGGGGTTGAGGGTTTAGGGGGTTCAGGTAGGGTTTGTGGGTATAGGTTTGGGGGTTTTACGGCTTAGAGTTTGTAATAAGTGTTGCAGGCTCATTTCGGCCCGAGCCGGACTGGCATTATCAGGACCTGCTCCGGTCTAGGGTTTAGGGTTTAGGCTGTTTTTAAAAGCAAGCCGGAAGTCTTTCAGCGTTCGGCAGTAAACCCTGCACCATGAGCAACAAGCCTTGACTCTTAAACTGGGAAGCCGCAGATCCTGAAGCCTAAGAGATAAGCTCATAAGCTCTGAACCTACCCAAGCAAGTCACAAATGCGGTAGCTTAGACACTGAGCCCTATGCTATCGCTTTGTCTTAGTAGCTGAGTGGATACACTTTACACTGCATGGGATGATTATTACCCAATGTGAAACTAAAAGTGTACACTTTGCTGGGCTTATGAACTCAGCAACCAAGTTGCGCCTGGCGAGTTCGAAAAAGCCTCCTGTTCTGCTTCGCTGCATCCCTGGAGCTGAAGATCCTGACGCGGTTGGGAATGACCAGCCCTTTTCGTACGTTTAGGGTTTAGGCTTTAGGGTTTAGTGTTTAGGGTTTAGAGTTTAGGGTTTGGCGTTTAGGGTTTGTGGTTTGGGGTTTGAGGATCCGTGTAAACGTGCCACACTCTGATCCAGTGCAAGACTCTAGTTTACACAGCTACCCGAAATCCTACATAGATTAGGAGCGGTTTAGGATGTCAGGGGGCAGAAGAAAACTTCGCACGAGTATAGGAGCCACGTTGGGTCAGGGGTTGAGCTTTTCAGAGTTGAAGGCTGACAGCCGAGGACAAGGATTTACGATCTAGGGTTGAGGATCCGGGGTTCAACTTTGCTTGATGGCTTTGATTGTTTATGACCCGGGACAAGAAAGGTGGAGGTTCATGGTAAAACCGTAAAACCAAGTAGTTAACCTTTTCCTCCTTTCCGATTTACGATCTACCGAGCCTGCAGTGCGAAAAGAAACACTGTGAGCTGGAGACCCTACGCCCATACAACAGTCCAAAAACCGAAAACAGTTATCCAAAAGTCAATGAAACCCCAAGGCACAACTCCAAACAAAAGTTTTCACAAGTAAAGTTCGACCACCCCCATCCCCCTCCTCTGTAAAAAGGCAACCAAGTCCCAGCACCTCCAAGCCGTAGAAGGCTGAACCCTCATGCTCCAAACTTCAGGAAAGTCATCCCAAATCCATAAGCTAGGACCTGGAGTAGGCCCTTATTCCCTTTTTGTAGGGTTCAGGTTCCCTTATAAGCCCCCTTTAAACCAAAAAGGGCACCCTTCTTATTCCTAGGTTACTCTTGGGTCTAGTAAGCGAAGCCCACGGCTTCAGTAATCCAAAGGGCCTAGGCTTTGGGAAAAGGGAGATTCGGGTTCAGGGGTTTAGGGTTTAGGGTTTAGGGTTTTAGGGCTTTAGGGTTTTAGGGTTTAGGGTTTTAGGGTTTTAGGGTTTAGGGTTTTAGGGTTTAGGGTTTTAGGGTTTAGAGTTTAGGGTTTATCCACTGCGCATCTGCAGCCGCAGGCGCGCGTGCACGATGTCTGGCAGTGCCTGTCAGAGGCTGCCTGGGACCTGCCGCTCACCAGCAGTTCCCTCGTAGTAACAGTAGAGCAGGTAGCCTTTAAATTTTTTGTGTAGAAAAATCCTTATATACCCCCAAAGGGGACACACTTGAATGCCAAATTCTAACTGGCAAGCTACACCCTGAAGGCTAAAAGCCTACTGCCTAAACCCTAAACCCCTAAACCTTGAACCATAAAGCCAGAGCCAGAAACCCTTATGTCTGTAGCAAAATCATCTGACACCCTCGGCCTGAAACTCCTCAAGCCATGAATCCTGTGCCCCAAGCGCGAGACCCTGGCTGGGCTTTGTTGCTTAGCGAAACCTCTGAGTCGGAGGCCCCTCAACGTTTTTAGATTTTCTGGGTTGTTTCAGGGGTTTGGGGTTCAGGATCAACTCCTAGAGTTTGCTTCTGAATTTTCTAGGTTGTTTCTAGGGTTTAGGGTTCAGGATTAAGTCCTAGAGAGCCTGTCGGAAGTTTGAAGAATCCTCGCCAAACATTGTAAACCTTGGATTGCCACGAGGAGCCTCAGAGAAACCGGAGCACCCATCCGTAGGCCATAGTCGAAAGCCACTAGAAGGCCTTCATCCTTTCGAAACAAGCAATTCCGTAAATTAGGGACCCACGAACCACATAAGCATAAGCATTTTATAGGGAGATCCCTACCTTATTGGGCTTCACTATAAAGGGGGTTTATATGGGACATCCCTATCCAAATTTTGGCTTCTGTGCTTTTTTTGGGCCCTAGTAAAGCAAGCTCTGATGAAGCCCCCGAAAGAACCAAGAAAGCCAAAGCTCTGAATCCCTAAGCTTCCAAAATTATGGGTTTAAACCCTCAGCCCTGAAGCCTCCAACCGGAGCCCTAAAATCCTTAACTCCCTCAGGCTTAAGCCCTAAAACCGGCCCTAAACTCTCGACCCTCACGCCTGAAGCCTCCAGCCAGAACCCCAAACCCCAACCCTGGGTACCCTAAACCCTGCACCCTAAACCCTGAACCCTAAACCCTAAACTCTGAACCCTAAACCCTAAAACCCAAACCCAGGTTCCTGGACCCTGCCTACTTTGGCATGGACTTCGCGGATATCCCGGCTTTGAGGGGAGGCCGGAGCTAGAGAACTAACGGAAGGCTTTCGAGCACAACAGGGCGTCTAGGTTCAGGGTTGGCTGAAGAGTAATTCGTGTAGAGATGGAGGTTTCATGAAGAGCTTGCTGGGTCTAGTCTATGAGGTATTTAGGGCTGTCTTGGGTGTGTTCAGGGTGTTTGGGCGGTTTTTGGGGAGTTGGAGCGCCAGGATTCAGGATATAGGCTTTGGGAGTCGGCATCTGTAAAACACGTTCCACACCATGGCATAAGAAAGACCCGCTGATCCTCCACGTTGATTGCCTTTCCTTGGCAGGTCCGCCACTTCTTTGCAGTGCTGCACCTGACATCCTGGACGAGGTCCTTGGAATCTTTACCGTGTCAGGAGGGATTTAGAGCGTAGGGCCTAGGAACCTTAGAACCTTGGGCTCTTGGGGTGTATGGAGACTCCATGGAGCGTCTGCTTTTGGTGCTTTCAGCCCGTCTATGTGAGGGTTACTCTGGATTTGGGTCCACCTGCTGCGCATCAGGATCAGCGGAGGCACAGAAAGGTACGGAGCCCGCTCGTAACCCCAAACCTAAGCCTTAAACCCTAGCCCTAAACCCTAACCTCCGGTGTTGCACTCGCAAACAATGATCTCAACAAGAAACACCCCTTCCTCCATGCGTCCCCGTTAGTCGAAACCCCAAATCCCTCTGCCCCTTAAGCCGAGCTTTCTAGTCTTAGTATGTGGCGTAATACTTTGGATAGCGTGAAGGTTCCGTTTCAGGGCTTCGTTAGTAGAAGGGTTTAGGATAGGATGATTCAAAAGTCCCTAAACCGCAAAACTCTAACATCCTAACCCCCTAAACCCTAACACCCAAAAATCCTAACACCCTAAACCCTAAACCCTAACACCCTAGAGTCCTAAACCCTAAACTAAACCCTAAGACTCTAACACCCCAACACCCTAAACCCTAACACCCAAACACGCGAAGAATAAGCCCTCGGTGCAGGACGGCCGTGCACGCCTGGCCCGCGTCTTCGCGAGGCAGTTCCAGGCAGAGGTGCAGCCGACGATGTAGGAATCTTAGGGTTTAGGCATGAACAGCCTATCAAAACTAGTGTCGTATTCTTATTGTGGTTCTTCTTCTTGCTACTGCGACTATTTGGAGCCATCGCCACCTTTGCTTAGCTAAGGTCGGGTTTACTCTGCTGCAAGCTTAGCCCAGGCTCCCCCGAAAGCCCCTGGAAATTTGAGGATCCGGTTTAAAGGACCCCACAGCACCCGACAAAGCCCTCATACAACTTCAAAGACCACAAAAACGCAAGAAGTCCATGGAAACCCATCCGGAGATGAGGTCCTCAAAATGGAAATCCTGAACCCCTGAACCCTAATAAACGTTAGGCCTCAAGAACCCTTAGCCCCAAACCCTATACCTCAAGAGCCGGAGAACCCCACGCCGAAGCCTTGATACAAAGTACGGTAATGAGTAATGAGACCGCATGTCATGCCGCCTATCGCCCTTTCATGTCATCAAACGTTTCTGACGAAGAACTTGTCACTGACAGCAAGCATAATGTGAATGGCCATGATGTAATGAAACAAAAACCCTTAACCCTCTTGAAGAGTGGTGATGGCAATTACACGAATGACGAAGGTGGGTACAGACAGTACCGCAGCGATGGTGCAGATCAAACTCAAAGCAGGGCTGAGGCTTTCGGGTTTAGGGTTGTAGTAATCCCAATTTGGGTTTAGGGTTTAGGGTTTAGGGTTTAGGGTTTAGGGTTTAGGGTTTAGGGTTTAGGGTTTAGGGTTTAGGGTGCCAAATGCTCTTCAAACGCCGCCAGAGTTAGTGGCCCATGGGTACGGCCGCGTGGTGAAAGTCTGAGCCCTAAACCCCCAAACCCAAACCCTAAACCCCCAAACCCCAAACCTTAAACCCCTAAACCCGAAACCCTAAACCCCTAAAGCCCTAACTTCGGGCGAAGTGTCTTGGGTCTGAGACCCTAGCCCTAAACTTCTCCGCTCTGCCCCCGGGCCCAGCACGTGCATCTAGCTCGCTGAACGAGGAACAAACCCTGTGCCTTGTCTTAGGGTTTTTTGGGTTTCCGGGCCTAGGGTTTCTTGGGATTCCAAAGTTCATGATGATTTTCGGAACCTTGCACATATCAGCTTGGAGCGAATTCCCGAGTGGGTCCTTCCTAGTGATGCCGGCCATTGTGCCTCTGTTCGGGTCGTCGTTGCAGCTATTGCGTTTAGTTCGAGTACCTTCATTCGAGTATCTTCATCACCATTACTGTCAATTTTGTGAGCGCTGGTGGGTTGACGGTGTTTCATCCGTTCAGGGATGTCTCAACCCCTGGCGCAGGTGCTGCTGCCGAAGGTGCCGCGGGCCAGGGTTACACCAGCTTCAGGTTATGAACCCCGGACCCGAACCACAGCCTAAACCCTAAACCCCTTTCTTTCAAAAAACAGAAGAAACTGTAGAGTTTTAAGTTCTGAAAGCCTTGAAATCCTGAATCGCGCCGCGATCCGACCTGAGCACATTGCAAAGATCCACCTCCTTGTCCGGGATAAAGAGTGGTGAAGGAGCCCCGCCCGCTGCTGCCAGACATCAGCAGCATCCGTGCCGTGTTTCACCAGGGGACCCTAATGTAGTACCAGTACCTTAAATAATAGGATCCTTATATGGGTGGTTGTCAAAATTATGGTCCCTTTTTGGGTCCTTGATATAGTACGGCACTTAATATTTAGTGACCCAAGAAGGGGCCACAATTTTGACAACTACCCATATCAGGACTCCAAAACAAGGTACCCCAGAGACTCCAATACCCCTTAATTAATGAATATACTTTAAATTATAGTAGGATCCCTAATATGCTTTAAGGGATATATTCCTTAATTAAGGGGTATTGGAGTCTCTGGGTACCCCTTCTGCTCGGAAGCTCCCTTCGATTACGACTGGGAAGACACCTCAGCGAGGGAAAGGGCACTGAACAAAGGGAAGGAAAAGCGATATCACTATGGCAAGAGGATAAGGATTGCGTCGAATCGACTCTGCGCCCGAAAGAGTGAAAGAGTGATGGCAAGAGGAAGCATGTCGAGACAGACTCCGTGACTTTGGAGACTGATGCCAGCCACGCCGGGTTCGACTGCAACGACAAGGACAAACATAACATGCTCCTCAACGAGGCCTCGCCCGTGAAGCCTTGAACCACAAGCCCCCAAGCCTCCCAAAGGCCTTTAGTCCGCCCAACCTGTCAGAAGTTTTTCAGGGCCTTGTTGCATCGGGGTGTCGAGTTGGGGCGATCGGGATTAGGGAATGCAGTAATGCGGGGCTTCAAAGTCCCCACCTTAGTGTTTCCTCCTAGCCTACCCCCCAAGCCCTATGAGTCTTCGGGGGTTTTAGAGCAGTTGGGGCTTCCTACGTTTAAGCGTAGGATTGAGGGGTTTAGAGATTAGGGTTGAGAAGACGTGCATGCTCCGACTTGCACGATAGATTGCGACGATCTGGCTGGAGTTCCGAGGCAGACCAACTTAGACCTTTTGTCCTTGATCCAAAAGCCCTCAACCCTAAGCCCTAAGCTAATCCTTGGTCGGAATATCTAATGATAGTAGTATCCATGCATAGTCCCTACATACTTCTAGTATGATATGCTCCAACTTAACCCCATTGCAACTATGAAGGCCCCTGTATTGGACTGACTTGCATAGAGCTGGGGACCGAGGTTTTCGGGCATCGAGAGAGCAACCTTCGCTTTTGTGCTTTCGGCTTTACATCCGCGTCCTCAACCCTAAACGCTGAACTCTAGAACCGAAGCCCTGTCTTGGCCCCCGTTGTGGTTTTGATCCTTTACGCTTTGCTTGCTGGCTCTTGTCGTGGTAGAAATGGTGGTGGTAGTGCTGGGGGCGGCAGCAGCAGGAGGAGGAGTGGCAGTGGTCGTTGCAGCGGTATCTGTAGTCACGGTTTGGAGGTGGCAGTCGTTGGGGTCATCGTCGTAGTGCTGTTGGTGACCATACTCATACTGCTATCATGCAAAGCCAACAATGTTCTTCCTGGTTTTGGTACCATAGCACTAGCATCACCATCACCATCATCTCTCCTGCCCACTGCCCTATCGCCGACTGTATGTGCTCCTTCTTGCCAGGTACATGCTTCCCTGACGGAAGATGCCAGAGCGGCTTTGGGTGTGCTCTTCGAGAAGTACCGGGAGGCCTCTATGGATCTTCGTGTTTGGGGTGTCGGGGAGGTCGACAGCGCTGAGCCTCCCGCCACGTGAGAAAGGACCAAACGCGCAAGACCCTTATCACAATGACTCCTTTCAAGGGTAGGACCTGAGTCAGTGCTTCCTCACGTCTTTGGCTCTGCCTCCGGCCTTGCAGGGGAAGCCATCTGGAAATCCCAGAGTTTGGGATTCCGCCTGAGGTCTGTACGGTTTGTGATTTAGGGTTTAGGGATTATGGGCTCAACATGAGGGGTTGAGGGTTTGGTTTAAGGTGTAGAGGGCCCGAGCATGATGTGAACTTAAGAGGTCTCCGCCAGTCTAGCATAGTTTGTGCAAGCCTTCGTAACCTGCTCGTAGCTTGCACCACTTTTTTGCTCTTGTTACCTTTGGTCAGTAGGGAATGGAGGAATGGGGTACAAGTATAACTACTATTACTACCATTCTTCCATTTCCTACTAACCAAAGGTAAGTCTTGTTAATGATCCGGCTCCGGCATGGCAAGCACCGCTGGAGCCATGCGAGACGATGAAGTTGTCCACTGGGCAGAAGTGATTGATGCATTAGTGAAGCATGAGGCAGAGAAGCTACTCTATACGAAGGAGGGGGCACCTGGTTCTAACATGGGGACGGATCCCGATGAAGTCCATCAAAAGCTGCACCACTTCTTGGAGCTTCAGTCTCAGCGTGAACGCCTCGAAGTCCTCAGCCGTACCGAAGACGAGGTGACTCTGGTTCTGGGGTTCCTGTTTCAGAGGCTCGTCGAGCAACAGTCCCAGGAAGTCGCCGCGACAGACATCGGGATCCTTTTCAAAGTGTCAAGCTACCAAGATGCCATTCAGAGAAGCTCGCAGCAGGAGCTCACAGAAATAGCTCGATACCAGCTTGCACGAGCTGGTGTGCAGCTCTGTATGTCTGAAGCTGCCGCCACCTCGTTTCTGTATGATGCCGAACACCAGCAAACCGCCCGGACCCTGGTGCAGAACATCGTGCAAGACACCACTGCGCAGCTTCTTCGTCATGGTGCTCGAATCTTGATTCTCGGCGATCGGGGGACCGGAAAATCGAGTCTTTGCAATGCCGCGTTCGGCAACGTAGTTGCTTCAGCAGGTGCCGGGCTACCAGTGACGGAGAAGATTACGCTGTACCCTGCAACGGACGCCTGTCCCATTCATATCTATGACACCAAGGGCTTTGAGACTCTTGATGGCGATGAAACCGCTTTGGAGCAGCTGAAGGAGCTGATTGCCGAGAGGCGGGATGCGGCAAACAAGTATGAAGCGGACGACCCCGATAGATTAAAGGAGCACTTGCATGTCGTCTGGTGGGTGATCGATGTCTTGGCCGGTGGGCGCTTCAACCCTAGCAGCATCCATAAAGTGTATCAGCTATGCAACAACGATGCAATCCCAGTCATCATGGTTCTGAACAAATGTGATACTCATGCGGACTTCGTGCACGAAGTCCAGAGCCAAGTGCGCGAGCATTGCCCATGGGCACGCGGAGTGGTGCTCGTTGCGGCTGAGCCTAGCATGGGTCCGCTCAAACTTCAGTGTGAGCATTGCTCTTCAGATGACATCTGCGTAAAAACGAAACAGAGGGTCTACAGCTGCGATGCTTGTGATTCAAGAAAGGTGCCGGTTCAACCATCCTATGGTGTGGGTGAGTTGATGAAGATGACTGTGGAAGTGCTGCCAGACATGGTGGCGAACTCTTTTCTCCGCGCTCAAAATGTGTGGCTGGAAGGCCTTGACAAGGCTGCCACAGCAACGGTTGCCGCATATGCTGCGGGGGCCCTTATAGTCGGATTCTCACCCATTCCATTCTCTGCTCGCTTGCTGCTCATCCCTTTGCAAGTTGTAATGGTCGTGACGTTGGCTGCGCTCTATCGCGTGGACAAGATCTTCTCCAGACACATGGCGCTTACCTTCTGCATGTCCATTTTTTGCTCGACTCCTCTTGGTTGGGGCGGCTACCTCGCTTCCAACTTTCTGAAAATGGTTCCCGGCTTGAACGCAGTGGGGATGGTTTCCGACGCCGCTATAGCATCTAGCATGACAACTGCCATGGGTTTGGTTGCAATGAAGCTGCTGAGACGTGTGCGTGGCAAGGCACTTCTTGGCGAGGTGGTCCAGCCCGAAGAATTAGCCGAGATCATGAGCGAAGAGGAACGACAAAGACTCTTTAGCGACTATTTTGGTCGGGTTCACCAGTCGAGCTCTGGGACATGTGATGGTGCTCTCTCGGCGACCGAACTTCAGAACGTGGCCGCCGAAATGGGCAGCCCTGCGCAGTGATGCTTTTGCATCATCATGAAATGATACCAAGCCCGCGGAAGCGCGGAAGCTTCACTTGCAACAGCCTCGTGAAGTGTACCAAGTTTCTCCTCTGAATCATCCTTGCCAGACCCCGATTGCACATGCCAAAAGCCGACCTGTACTGAAGGTGCCCCGTCGTGTTTCTCGGAGGATTGAGCCTGTTGAGCTTGGGTTGAGGGCAGGTATATAAGATGAACCATGTGCATGGGAGGCAGGGCAGGATATAGGGTTCGGCGCCTGGAGTTAAGAGTTCAAGGTATGCTGGAGCGAAGCTTGCGAAATAAAGCCTTCGAGGCTTGGCCGCGTCGTGTTGGCTACAAGTCTTTGAGACAAGGTTTCCCTTCCCCTACACCCTAAACAAAAAAGCCTGAATCCTAAACCCTAAATCATTGAGGTAAGGCTTTCATCGTGGTTCGGGTTGGTTACGTGTGTCAACTGGCAGTTTCTGGTGCAACCTCGCGATGAGTATGCAAGGGACCGTATGCGGTTTTAGAGCACGTATTGGACAGTGTGAGTATCAGTTTATAATGACAATGATCCTGGACATGGTGTTGATGGCAGAAGGGGCGAAGCTTCGAGGGGATGGAGGAGAACGTGATGAAACGTATGTTTTCAAGGGCAACCCCAGCTGTGATGTTGACAGGAATGGCAAGATTTGTGATCAACATGATAATGGGTGAAGATTCCCACGATGCTCATAGCGGTTGCGAGGATATTCATGGACATGTTGATGGCAGTGATGTTGAGGCGACGGTAGTTTCCGAAACACCCCAAGCTGTTGATGTAATATATGGGCCTTAATAATTGAACATGGTTTTGGGGCTCATTATACTATACTTGTAGTAAGGACCCAGTATAGGTAATTATTAAGGCCCCTTTACTAAATCAATAGAATAGCTCGTATAGTAACCCTTATAGACCCCTTTCAAGGAACCCTAACGAAAAGTATTGGTAATTATTAAGGCCCCTATATTCTGCCAGGTGCCTCATGTCCACGGTCTTCTAGTTGTTGAAGCCGCTACATTACCTGTGACGGGTTTCCGAGAATAGGGGACCCTAATATAGCACCCAAAATAGTAGGATTCTTATTATAACGGCCCCAGAATAGGGTGCTCGATAATTTTTGGAAACTCCCATGTACCTGGTGACAGGAGCTGCATGTGCCAGAGCCGACGCTCGAGCTCCACTGCTGGCCTAGCGAGACCGTCGACATCAGACACCTGGCGCAAAATAGAGGCCTTAATAAGTAGCGATACTATTCCTGCGGGTTCCTCTAAAGGGGACAGGGTCTATAAGGGTTACTATAAGGGCTATTGTAAGGATTTGCTACAGGGGCTTTAACCATTACCAATGCTAGTTTGGGGGGGTTCCTTAGCATAATTTTGGTATAGTGGGCCCCAACACCGTATTCTACTTATTAATGCCCCCATATTAAGATCAGATCCCCGAGCCCCCATCTTCGAATGCCCCAAAACTTGCTTTCCTTGCCCGAGACTCTCGGCGCGAAGTCCGAGTATCCTCAGCTTAAACCGTAAGCTTGTTGGGGTGACCGTTACAACTGTCACTTCTACTTGCTTTCACCATTGTTAATCCAGTACCTACTGGGCTTCTAGGGTCTCCATGCGATGACAGCAGGCGACACAGACCGCCTGCCAAAGACGCGTAGAAATCGTTACTCGGTGTGACCATAATGCAGAAAATATTGTGGGCATGGAGTGGTGTTCGTTGCGAAATTGACAACAGCAATGCTCTTCTGCTTTGACGCCGTTGACATCGGGAGTTAAAAGCAGCAAGGACATCCAGCACACTACTTACGGCGCAGTTTCTTGGATTGCGAATTGCACAGCCTTTCTAAAGCCTGAAATAAGTATTCTTCCAAAAAAACCCCACACACCACGTTTTTTGAGGTCGCTTCTCTCGCTTTCTAGCGTGGCTTGGCGTCGTGAGGCCTTCCTGGGCTTTTTGGAGCTTCGCTGCAGCTTAGGATGTATGGACTTTTGGGGGGTTTGGAGTTGAGGAAGCTCAGGGTTTAGAGCTTTAAGGGTTTAGGGGCTTGGGGGCCAGGCTTAGGAGGGGGGGGGTGGGGTTTTGTTTTGAGGTTCGGGGCTTGCTTAAGCCTTAAACCCTAAAGCCTAGACCATAAGCCCTAAACCCAAACCTGAAAGCTTAAAACTCAAACAAAGAAAGATCCAAGAGATCCCTAAGGTCCTGGAGTGGTGGACCCTGCACAAATCATAAACCTACAAATCACCAACACACTAAGTCCTAAACCCGAAGCCCTTCAAGCCCAAGCCCTAAACCCTGCAAGAGCCTTAAACTCCAGACCTTGAACTCTAAAACTTAGACTGTAATGGAGTCCTTAGAATCTGGGCAAGCGGACTGAGCGGTCAGTCCTAAACACTAGACTCTTACAGGAAACTACAAAGAGAGCTTTACATACTATAAACCCTAACGCCTAATCTGGGCAGGTGGACCGAGCAGTTGCTGAATGAGCTAGCCTTGGCCCCGCGGGTGGACACCTGCCGGGCGCCCGAGAAAGGGGTTCTTGCGCGGTTGAGGGAAGCATTTAGTTGACTTTTGCGATGCTTTGCTGGCAAGTTTAGGGTGTCGGAGGGGGAGGGGGGTTTGGGTTCAGGGTTTAGGGTTGGGCAGGTTTCATGCAATAAGAGGTTCAGGGTGTTTTGTGGTAGCGGATTTGGTCAGAGATCTAAGGGATTGAGTTTCTGGGGTTGGGGATGGCGGTTTCGATTGCTACTCCCCGTAGTTCTTCATGGTACAGAGGGCTTGAATAATCACCAAAACTGTTCTGGGGCTCCTTATTCTATAGATATATAGTAGGCTGTACCCCAAGACCCTATTCTAATCATGAAGGCCTGTTTATTGACCCTGAAGCCCGAAGGTATCGGTGGGCTCCGGGCAGCTAGGCAGCCAAAGAGATTCTGCCAGGCCCCAGTTCGGGCTGTAGAAGACGGCAGGAACACTGAAACTTACACCCCTGAAAAGCAGCCGCAATAAACGCGCAATATTGGCGTAATAGCTCCAGCCGAGAATGAGCCTCTGGCATTCGCCAGTCTCGACACCCCGGAGCCCTCGCAGTTTGAAATTTGAACCTGAACCGTTTAAAGCCCGAGCAACACTCCACCAAAAAATGGGCCCAGCAGTCCCGATGCGCCAGAACGCAAAACTGCACAACTGATCTATTTTTAAACCCTTCACCCTAAACATCTTGCAACTCTTTAAACCCCTTAAAATCCCAAGAGCTTCAAACCTCTAAAACCTTAAAACCCCCAAGCTTTAAAAATCTAGACCCCTAAACACCGCAAGCTTTAAAGCTCTAAAGCCTTAGAGCCCTGAGCTCTGAAGCTCTGAAGCCCTATAAAGCCTAAACATCCCAAAGCTCTAAACCCGATCTAGCAGGTCCCATCTGCTACGAGGCGCGGCTGGGCCTTTCCGGGAGACCCTGGCCTCGCGGACTTTGAAGTACGGTTTAGGGTTTAGGGTCTAGTACATTTAGAGTCTAGGGTTTAGGGTTTAGTACATTTAGAGTTTCGAGTTTAGGGTTTCGGGTTTAGTACATTTAGAGTTTCGGGTTTAGGGTTTCGGGTTTAGTGCATTTAGAGTTTCGGGCTTAGGGTTTCGGGTTTAGGGTTTAGGGATTTACCTGGACCACACAAGTATGTAGAATCATGGCACTTCATGGGTATTGGGCCAATCTTTAAATTGCCTTTGGGGATTTAGGTCAGCCGAAGGCAGAAAGCCCGTCGGCTCTGGATCCTCAGCTCTTGCATCCCAGGAAACCCTCATCCGCCGTAGTCGCAACGGTTGAGCGTGGCTGTAACTTTTGTCAACACTACACCTCGGTCACTACACATCGGACCCTGCGGTTCAGGTTTGCAGTCTTGCCCTGCACAGGAGAAGCTTGATGTGGAATGCCTGGAGCATTGGAGTCCGAAGGGGGATGTTCCTTGGCCGTATCAGAGCTTGCAGTAGGGTTAGACGTCGGATTTGCAGTTTGGTGCTGCGGGTCAAGAGTCGCAACGGTTCCTATGGTTTGGGGTTTGGTGTACCCCTAGCTCTTGTCGCCGCGAAGCCCAACTGTATGAGTTACCGAGCCCGAAGCAAGGTGTCAGGGGCGGCTGACCAGCTCCAAACCCTAAACTCCTAAACCCCTAAACCCCAAGTCCAAAACCCCGAAACCTTAAACCCCGAAACCTTAAACCCCAAGCCCTAAACCTCAAGCCCAAAGCCCTGACTAAGCCCTAAACCCCCCCAAACCACAAGACCTAGACCCCGAAACCCCTAGACCCCCGAAGCCCTAAAGACTAAACCTCCAAACCCCAAGCCCTGAACCCCCATACCCTAAACCCTACAAGCCCTCAGCAGAGGTGTCAGAGCATCGGATGTGCGGAAGTTGCAGGCTCGAATATGGACAGCCACTTGGCAATGCACCCAGGGGTCCCAAACCCTCCACCCTACCACCCAGCATAAGGGGCGCAAATAGATCCCAAACACTACTACTTTCGAGTTCCTTATTCTAACTCTAGTATAATGTATCGCTCGACTACTAAACAATTACCAACATCATGTTCTTGGCGTTCTACTGGTTGGCTTTTCGGCCTTAAACTTTCTGGCTTTCTCTACGAACCGCAATAAGGAGGCCAAAAGTTTATCTATTAGGAGGGGTTCCGAGGTTAGTCAAGTTCTGGGGTTCCTTCTTCCAACTATAGTACAATAAATACCCCCCGCCCCCCACAACCCTATGCTTGAGGCCCCTATGTTAGACCCCCCTAGACCCTCTAAACCTTCACGACCCTTAAAACCTGAAGCTCTGAAGACCCTAAAGACTTAACGACCCGCAACCAAAGCTTCAAATCCGAAACACCAAGACCCCAAATCCTATGTTTGGCTCGCTAGGACTTGCTGCAAGCTTCTGCAAGTCCCAATTGCGGGTGTGTGGTATCTGTAATGAATATAAGAGTCGTACATGATGGTATCCCCTGTCTTCAATACAAACAACCAAAGTATCCTCTACACCAAATCCCTTTCCTTTCTGATTAATGTCCGTCTCGTCCCGACGACATTCAGCCCCTTGACAGAAGCCCTCCAGCCTCGCAGGGCTCGGTTAGAGGAGCCCTACCTCCCGAAAGACTAATATGGGGGCCTTAATAATTACCTATACTGTTTTTGTGGTTCCTGATTATGATTACACTAAAGTGTGCCCCAAAACCCTATTGTGATTATTAAGAACCCTACATTACCTTGTTGAGATGTACTATATAGGGAGTCATGATAAGGACGCCTGAGAAGATTCGGGGCACTGCTGGCCCTAAGCCTGAATATCAGAAGCTTCCAAGCAGGAAAAGGAGCAATCTGGGAGCCGGATTAAGGCTAAAGAACCCTCGCCCACAACCAAAACTTGACCCCACCTGCAGTCTAAACCCTAAACCCCGAGCCCTAAACCCTGAGTTGCAGACGGCTGCTCAAAAACCGAAGCTCCAATTCAAACCAAGAGCACACCGACCTTCCGAGGAGCCAGTGCCCATTTTGCAAGGAGTACCTCTTGAAGGAGGTGGCGAGCAGAGGGCTTCAACTTCTAATACAAGGGCCTTAATCTTTTGAATAGGGCTTGTTTAAAGGGATCCTTTCAAGGGTTGCTATACATAGGGGCTTTAATGATCAGAATAGGGCTTGTAGGTATGTTGGAGTGGGTGCCTATAACAAGGAACCCTTCTTCAGGCTTCTATATTGATCTGCGAAGCAGAAGCCTCAAGCCGTCGCAGCACAACATGGACAAACGCGCAAGGAACACATTAAACCTTGACGTCCTTCTGGTTGGCTCTTTAGACTTTAACTTTTTGGGCTTCTACATGAACTATAATAAGGAGGCTAAAAGTTTAACTTTTAGGAGGGGGTTCAGAAGTCAGCCAAGAAACGGTGACAAGAATGTGTCAGCTGAGGCCGCGGGGTCTTCTCGTTCAGGGGCTTCTGGGTTCTTGTAAAGGAGTTTAACCATAAGTTACCATAATAGGGATCTATCGTGACGAAGTTGGCTTCGCTACTATGGTAACTTATGTTAAATTCCTTACAAGAGCCCAGTTTGGGGGTATTTTGGATTCCCCACGACGCAGGAGCTGATCGACTTCATTGACAAGTTTGGAGCCACCATCCGCGAGGACAGGTGGTGAAACGCATGGTATAGCACCAAACACCCTTGACAAGACACACTTTTACATGTTGTTTTGCGATACGGAGCGCAGACCACAAGGGACCTAATGCAGACCCTGAATAGTAGGATGCCCATAAACTCGAAAGCCTCCCGACCTTGAATCTTGAAGCCTGAAGTCTAGCATCCAAGGGGAAAAGGAGGGACCCTTAACGGGGACCCCTACCCTATAATGGGCTGTATAATGGGTATATACAGTAGTAGCTAAAGGGTATATACCTAGGATTCCTGATTAAGGGTCCCTCCTTTTCCCCTTTGATAGTAGCCTGCAGCACACAACGAGCCTAGTAGGGGGGGCCTTAGTATTTGGAATAGGACTGGGGGTACATCATAGCATAAATTGCATAGCAGCTGCAAGTTGCTGTTGCTCTTTTCTTGAGACCTCAATGCCACAGCCCCCTTTTGTTACGGAATTATAAATCGTAAGGAAACCATATCTATGAGCTTGGCGTAGATAAGGCCATGCTTAACCTAAGAAAGAAGTTATTCCTAGAACCGAAGGATATGGAAGCACTGCTCCTTAAGCGAGTGGGTTTTTGAATGAAAAACTGGGTTCTTACCGCCTCGGAGAAGGACGGCCGGTACGACCCGTTTGAAGTGTCCATGGCGCTGGAAGAGTGGCAGATCCACGAGATGGAGTTCGAGGCCCAAACCCAGCTTCAGGGTTTTGGGTCTAGGGGTTCAGGAAAGATGTCGAAACAAGAAAAAGCAATACTATCCCATCCAGTTCTGTTTTAGGGACCCTACTCTGCAACTGTTACGCTGGGTTCTTTACTATAGATTCCTCTGGCGGGAACTTGAATTAACTTTCTTCACAAGAACCCAGCAAATCCTGCTGCGACAGAGAGCTTGGGGTGTACAGGGTTTCAGTGATGGGGTTTGAGGTGTCTTGGGTTTTTTCTGTTGGGGATGAGGTGTCTTGGGGTTTTCAGTTGGGGATTTGGAGTTTGATTGTCTTGCGGCTAAAAAAATTAGGTCATGCAACTGGGGTTTCGGGATTTTGGGGCGCCATCAACCTTTCGGGGGTTCAGGGTTTCAGCGCCTGGGATTTCGGGTTTGGCATTGAAGGTCCCAGGGCCTCGGGTTCGGACCTGCACCCATAAAGCAATGGCCCCTGGTTGATCGACTCGCAGACATCCTTGCCCCCCTTCAAAATCCGGACGACCGGGGTTAAGTTGGCAAACCGCTAACATAGTACTAAATCAAATGGGAGTTTTCGAAAATAGGGGGCCCTAATATAGTACCTTAAATGTTGGAGCGGATGTTGTCTCGGAGTCGATCAACCAGGGGCAATTGCTTTATGGCTGGGATCTCTCCACGATGGGGGCGTCGGTAGTGTTGTCTGAGGTTAGGGTTTAGGGTTTAGGGTTTAGAACCCTAAACCCTAAACCCTAACATGTTCGGCATGCCAGACTTGTGACCGGAGGGAGCAGGGGGAGGTATAGGGTTTAGGGTTTAGAGTTTAGGGTTTAGGGTTTAGGGTTTAGGGATCAACAGTACCGACGGTATTGGCCGACGAAGACAAAGGTCCATCTGCCCTGCTAACGGAGTAGCAGACAGACTGCCAGCAGTTGGTGATGGTTCTTCGGTCGAAGAGAGTCGACACTGGCTTTGTTCCGTTCCACCTTCCCGGCTACAACGAAGCATTGGCTCTTTTCTGGATCAAAGGGATGGACATCCTCACTGGCATGTGTGGGCACAGTGACCAGGTGTAAGGTCTCTCACGGTTTGGAGTTGAAGATTTCAGGGTTTTGAGTGGTGAGGATGGTTTAAAGATTGAGGGTTTAGTTCTGGTCATTAATGTTCAGTGTTACGGCTCTAGGTATTTAGTCATCTTGAAAGTTTGGGTCTTTGGTTTAGGGTTCATGATATAATAGCGTAGCGGCATTGCTTGAGGAGCATCTTTTTCTTGTAGCACTATGGTGTGGTTTTCGAGCAGTATCGCAGGGTGTGGACTATGTTTTCGATGGTGATGATAACTAGGATGCCCAGTAGTACCCTTATTCCCGTTTTGTAGTCCTAGGTTCCTTATAAAGTTACCCAATACCAAAAAGAGAGGCCTTTTTATTCTCAGGTTACTGGGTATCCTAGATAAGGAGGATGACGATGTTGATGATGATGGTCACTGCAGCTACTGTCTGATTTTGTTGCATTGGCTTAAAGTAAAAGCCAGAAAGTTGGAATATGGTTATCCTAAACCCTTTATGGTAAATTACAAGGTATCCTACCCTGAAACATATTCCAACTTTCTGGAGTTCCCTTTACGGGCCTGGGGCCGGAGGTGTGATCTGCACTAGGGATGCCAGTCAGTGAATGATGTGATGTATCGGCAAGAACTGCCATGCCATCCTGAACGAGACCTTGGTGTAGAAATACTAGGCAGTTGATGTGTGGTTGTGCATCGATGCCTGTTTTTCAGAGAGTAAGTGCAAGGATCTCCATCACACCATCAGGCTGCTCGAGTGCAGCCCTGGTGCGAGGTTTTGGCTTCTGAGATGGCCACGTCTCGTGCACAGGACCTCCTGTATGTCAAGGAGCACAGCAAGCGGTTGCGAGCTCACATCACGAGTCTCAGGGCGGAAGACTATTCTTTAACAGACATGGGAGTTTCCCAAAATAGGGGACCCGACCCTAATATGGTACTCTATACAGTAGGAATAAGGACCCCCCCAAATTAAATGCCCCTTCTTTTCGGCATTGCCTCGATCTGCGAGGACTTCCTCGTTCAGGTTGCGAGCCAGACGGGGCGGGTCAACGAAGCCCCGCTGAAGGAACGGCTAAGCAAGGCCTTTCCACGCTGGGTGGAGAGGGCGCGGCATAGCTCTTGGCTTCGCCCTCCCCGAAACCCTAAACCGTAAACTACTCTAAACCCTAAACTGCCCTAAACCCTGAACCCCAAAATGCTGTAAACCCTAAACCCAAGTGTAACGGTCCAGGGGTTCATGTGGTTGACAGCTTTAAGCCTCCAGCCCTCCACCTGCAGCGCCGGCAGGCACAGCCCTCAGTGATGAGACGAGCAGCGCGCTTGCTCATGGAGGTCCCCCTTGCCCACCATGATAATACGGGCCTCAATAAGTAGGATAGGGTTCCTTTTCACAGGTTCTATACAAAGGATACTTTAGTGATCTATAAGGGTACTATAATATAGGAGCCTGGTTTTTTGGGGCATATTCCGCTATCATCATATACAATAAGGAACCCCCGCAATAATATTGGTAAGTACTTAGGCCACTATAGTAGGTTGCTATAAGGTCACGATGATAGAGACTTGCGGGGGGTTTAGGGTTTGGGGTTTAGGCAGGGATGACGGGTGTGGGTGTAAGTTAGGGTCTAGGGTTTCGCGTTGACGGCTGAACGGGAGGTGTAGGGCTTGACCCTAAACCCTAAACCCTAAACCCTTGAAAGCTGGACACAGGATCGTGGTCTCGTCGGGCCGTCTTGAGGGACTTGTCAGTCTCTATATAGGTAGTTGTCAAAATTGTGGCCCCTTTTTCGGTACCCTAAAAACGAGGTGCCGCATTAAGATAAGGACCCAAAAAGAGACCATAATTTTGACAACCACCCATATATAAGGCCGTTGTTAGGGTTCTTAACAAGTAGCTCTGTTTATGCCAGTGACAACGATGCGCGTACTAAACCCCACAGCATACCCCCTCAATGCGTGAAGCCCAAAAGCCTGCTTCTAGTTCCTCAATGTCTTTCCTGGAGACCCCTGAACCCCAAACTCTAAACCCTAAACCCCCAAACCCCTAAACTCTAAACCCTAAACCGTAAACTCTACGCCCTCAGCCCTAAACCCCGACACTCTTGAACTCGAGAGTACCTTGTTGATTTCATACCCTGAAACCTGTCCTGTTTAACATAGAAAGCCGTCCTAAATTTCCGAAACCCGAAAACATGCTTCAATAGGCTTGAAGCAGAAGCCACGAATCCTTAACATAAACCCAGGAAGCCCGAAACCCTGTTGTGCTGTTTCGGGTTCTTGATCGCAATGGCAAACATATTCCAACATAGAGCCCAGAAAATCGAAAGGTTGTTGGGTCAATATCGGGGCCGGAATGATTTGTAACTATCCCGGAGTCAGCTGATAGCTATACCATAATATTCCCTAAACCGCATTTCCATGTTATGAAACCCCAAAAAGGATCGAGCCTTTCGGGAACGGCTAAAAGCCACGGTGGCCGCGCAGCGGCGTTCCTGGCTCAGTGCTGCCTCAGGACTGTCAGGGGTTAGGGGTTTAGGGTTGAGGGGGTTCGGGTCTAGGACTTAGCTATTTAGGGGTTTAGGGGTTTCGGATTTAGGATTTAGCAAGTTAGGGGTTTAGGATTTAGCAAGTTAGGGATCTAGGATTTAGCATTAGGGTTTAGGAGTTTTCGTGGTTAGGAAGAAGAAATTCAGTAGTCTTGGGTTCAGGAGTTTCGGCTTGAGGAATTAGAATATACGTAGAGGTTTGGGGGGTTTTCCAGAAGACTCGGTCTGGGTCTGCCATGTCAGGTCCCGTAGGTTCTGAAGCTCGGAGGGGCTGCTCAATTTAGGGTTTAGGGTTTAGGGTTTAGGGTTCTGAAGCTCGGAGTTAGGATTAAGAGATTTCGAGCATCCATGTCGTCTTGGGAAATTTCAGGTGACAAGATAGATAGCTTTAGGGTCTGGGGCTTCGGGGCACAGGTCCGGAAAGTTAGGCTGACGGCTCGTTGGTGTTTGTTCATAGGGAGTTTTCGTGCCTTGGGTCCCGGCGTCAAATTCGGGGATTGTTGAGTATCAGCCCTGTCTCCGGCAGGCTTCCCTAATATAACCTATCTATCGAACCTCATCATTCGTACTTTATGTAACTTACTATTCAGGCGTTGTGTCCTTATTGTTTAGATGAGTGTTTACATGTGCTGTTGTGATGCTTCTTCTCCGTCTTCTTCTTCTTGTGATTATTACTAGTACCTCGGCCGTTTCGGGGACTAGGATGTTAGGGAACATAGGTCTATGGGTTTGCTGTAAAGAGATTACGACATAACGTTTACTCTCAACCCTGAACCCCAAACCCTAAACCTTTCAGGATTCTTGTTTCGGGATCCGCTGGTACGCGAGTGTCATCGGGCTCTCGTGGAACTTTAAGTTGGATACCCAAAACCTTCACCCTGCATCCTTAACCCCTTTCCTGAAACCCCAAACCCTATACCCTAGACCTTCCACCCTACCACCTCAACCCGAGACCCAACCCTGCACTGCGCATCGATTTGGGATTGTTTTGAGTTTCCTAGATAGTTGTGGGGGACTCTTGAAATCGACACCTACTACACCGATGTGATTAAGTTGGCTTTCAAAGCAAATCGACGGCGAGAGGACCGATGTTCCGCTTCTGGGGCTTCGACCAGGTCGGGCGGCTTTGGGGGCCTAGTGAGGCCATGGGGCGTAGTTTAGAAGCCCCTTATTAACGGGGCCTAAATAATTACCAATACTATTGCGTGGGTTCCTTATGCTAATCATAGCATAATGGGCCCCAAAACCCTATTCTAATTATTCAGGCCCCTGCACTAATCATCTGAATTTTGAGCAGTATTGCAGTAGAAGCATGTAGGGATTAGAAGAACGCCCACTGCTCATTAAGACCCTCTATAATAAGGAAAAGCACCAGGTCGGGGATTGTCAAGGATTTCGCAGGGCTGAGGGCTGCTGTAGAAGTGGGGCTGATTTTTGTAGCCGACAGGGTCGGCTTTACGTTTCAGGGTTTATGGGTTTAGGGTTTAGGGTTTAGGGGTTTAGGGTTTAGGGTTTAGGGTTTATGGGTTTAGGGGTTTAGGGTTTAGGGTTTATGGGTTTAGGGTTTAGGGTTTAGGGTTTATGGGTTTAGGGTTTAGGGTTTAGGGTTTAGGGTTTAGGGATTCTTAGTCGAGAGGACTTGGGGCACTAGCTAAGAAGAAGTCCTTGGCTAGCCCTTCAAACTGAAGTCGCGGGGCTTGGACCCGGCCGTCCGGGCACTCGGCACACATGCTCGTCCGTTTCGATCTTGCGGCGCCAGCACACATCCAAACCTTCTCTGGTGCTAAACCCTAAGCCCTAAACCCTAAACCCTAAACCCTAAGCCCTAAACCCTAAACCCTAAACCCTAAGCCCTAAACCCTAAACCCTAAACCCTAAACCCTAAACCCTAAGCCCTAAACCCTAAACCCCCGGCCGGAATATTTTTTACGATCCCGAGCAGGGCCGGTTCAACCAGGGCAGACAGGCAGCTTTGTACCTGAAAGCACCCCAGATTTCTCAGATGATTTCGCTCCGGCTGCTCGTATGGATTTGGGTGGCTGTCAAAATTATAGGGTCCCTTTTTGGGTACCCTAAATGTTAGGTGCCGTATTATATTAAGGACCCACAAAGGGACCCTAGTTTTGACAACCACCCATTTGGACTTGGAGCTGGAAGAGGAAAGCTGACAATGCAATGGAAGCGGAAGACACGAACCGCGGCGACATCCCTACCCTGGAGGCTTTGGCATCCTCTGATGAAGAGACGGAACAAATAGAACCTATGGCAGAAGCTGCTGCGCCTCCCCCGGCGGCGGACATCGATCTTACATCGCACACCCAAATAATCATGACTTCAATCCTTACCTTCTCTAAGCTGTTCACGAGGGTGCTTGTGAGATTTTCTCTGTACTTTCAGAAATTTGTTTGGGTGCTCACAAGTAGAATCGTACTCTCACTATTGATTGTCTTTCGTAGGGGTTCCTTGATCTCTGAAACTTGCGTATCATTTCAAATTTCTGTGCTACTCAAGCATACTCGGTTGATTCGAGTTTAGGATTCCGGTTCAGCCGGAGTCTTGATCATCACCTCCCCCCCTAAACCCTAAACCCTACCCCCCCCCCCCGCTTCCCAACAAAACCTGCTTCACTATAGCCCCGGCATCCCCTTCACCTGCGTCTCCAGTCCACACACAACAAGAAAGAACACACTTCAATTGAACCCCGCACGAATCCCTGAACCATGTAACACGGGTGCCTGAGTGAGTTCAACAGGGTTTTGGGCAAACTGTAGTTATATTGAGGTATGAGTATATGGGGAACCCTCAACACGAAACCCCGAAATGCCCTTTTATTGGGCTCTGTCTCCCCTCTGCTCAAACCCTGAACCCTAAACCCCAACCCCTAAAAAGCCAAAAACGAACCGTAAACTCTAAATGTCCTAAACGCCCCAAGCCGTGCTCAGAGGTGAAGCCCCTCTGCTCGGGCGGGGAGGTCTCCAAGGTGCTCAAGGACTGGGAAGCTTCACCAAGTGGACCTTCAGTGACACCTTTCGGGTTTTGGGTTTACGGTTTAGAGTTTTGGTTTTAGGGTTTGCGTGGATTTTGGCTTTAGGGTTTATGGGTGGTTTAGGGTTTTGGGTTTAGGGTTTATGGAGGGTTTAAGCAGGGTTTGGGGCTGGAGAAGTATGGGTTCAATCTGCCTGCATCGCAAGCATGTTCAATCTTCGGCCCCAGCGTAAACTTCTTAGCACGGGATGGCTTGTCATGTATGGATTTAGGGTTTGGGGTTTAGGGCGAGTGGCTACGTTTTCTCACCGATGGGCTCGATAAAGCTGTGCTCCCGAGTTTCGGGTCCACGGTTTCGGCACTACTTCTTCATGTAATAAGTCTAAGCCCAACACCTTGCTAAGCTCCAAAACCCTCCCCAAACTCCAAAACATCCTGTTTTTCTTCTAAACTCTATACCCGAAGCCTCTAGCACTGAACCGACAGAGCCCTACATATGCCCCTCACCTAAGCCTTAAAAGGAGTCTTCAAACGCCACACCGAAAGTCCAACTCCCTAAAGGACACTAGTTCTAATGCCCACACAGAAGACCCTAAACCAGAAAGGTCCTAAATCCGTGATACCAAACCACACCCTAAGCCAACAAAAACCCTAAAATAGATTTTCTCAACCACAACACGGCAAACCCCTTATAAGTCCCTTATAGAGCCCCCATCGAAGTCCCATCAAGCCATAACCTACTAGAATAAGCACCCCCTCAAGCCCTCCGGAAGCCGAAACCCGAAGCACCAAGCCCTAGAACCCCAAAGCCCCAAATCACAAAACCCGAAGCCCCCTTAAACACGAGCACCCGATGCGAGGATGCTGTGGAGCTGCTTTTGGATCCCTTGGAACGGGCCGGGGCCGGCGAGGCCCTAGTTGGGCCTCGGGGTGTCAAGGTCTTTTTAGGTTTAGGGTTTAGGGGTTGGGGTTTATAGGGTTTAGGGTTGAGGGTTTAGGGCTTAGGGTTTAGGGTTTAAGGGTTCTATATACGAGTTTCCGAAAATTGGGGGTAACGTATTTTGGGATCCTTATAATAAGGATCCGACTATTTCGGGTACCATGTTCGGGCGGAAACTACCGTACGGTGTTTTATTAGGATTTAGGTTTTAGGGTGGGTGTTATAAGAAGTTTTTCAGATAGTTATCAGGTTTGATCGGTTTCATACAGATTTTTTTTCGGGCGTTGCATTGTTTTTTTCGGGTAATATGAGGGCTCCATACGGATTCATAAGCGTCGTACAAGGGTGCTAGGGTTCGGGTTGGCAAGTCGTTTTGATTATACCCCCAGGTCCGGTCCTAAATGTTCAGCCCCATATCCTTATGGTTTCCTCTTGTCGACCCCGTTTGATGGAATACTGTAAGTCTCGGCTTGCCATAAACCCTCAACCCTAGACCTTCCGAGCCCTTCCTGCCTGTCAGGTGGATCAGTCTCCGGGCTTCGTCTATTCACAGGCCGGCTCGGCGATCTGAAATGGGCGCCTGGTTCAGCAGCAATAGGAATCATAAGGTTAGTTTGTTTGTGTGTATTGTGCTGCGTCATCCCCTGGGCGACGCCAAGAACTGTGGGCACGCTGAATAACCGAAGCCTGTTTTGCGACGCCTCTAACAGCTTAGATCTAATTTCAAGTTCCGCCACACCTGCTCTCGCTCCGAAGAAAGTCCACAATGAAAAGGAGTTGTTCAAAGGGTTTCTGGAACGCTTCGTACCAGCATTTACTTGCAGTTTCTGTACGACAGCAATATGTGCCCCCAAAGCCCTGTGCTGGAAGCCCTAATAACTTATTCATCTTGTTCTCTTCTGGTCTCTATTATAACTTTTAAGGCCCCGATACTGGATTCGTGAACACCAGGACCCATATCTCGATAACTTCCTGGAGAGCTCTCATTGGCTCGAACTGTAATTCGGTTTGGGGTTTAGGGTTTAAGTCTCGCACAAACCGTGAGAGTCGCGTAAGTTGAGTGGTAGTATCGTCTTGCAGCCCCGAAAATCAATCAGCACTCATAAACCGGAAATCCTCGACCGTGATAGAGAGCGACTGTTGAGTGCAGGCCTTGCTTGCTTGGTTCTGCGCAGCTCGGCAGGAGCCGGCGCGATCATGGAATCCTTGGGGGTTTTGAAGGTTTAGGGCTTAGTTTCTTTTTGAGTTTGGGGTTTGTAGTTTAGGGTTTAGGCTTTAGAGTTTTGGGTTTAGGGGAATAGTGTTTAGAGTTTAGGGACTAGGGTGGGTGGTGGGTTTACAGTATGTTTTGTTGTTTTGGTTGAGGGTCTGGGGTGTACGGTTGCTCGGGATTCAGGCTACATTCAGGGTCTCGTATGGGTCTCGGGTTTCTTGCGGGTTTAGGATTTAGGCTTTCTTAGGGTTTGGTTTTTTGGCATGTAGTTCGTTTAGGGCTTCGTTTAGGGCTGGGAGTTCAGCATTGATGTTCGGGCATCTTCGCAGGGCTGGCACCACGTGGAAGAAGAGTAAGGCCGTCGAGCCCCGCGTGCCTCTAAATAAATCCCTAAACTCTGTCTGAAACCTTGAAGCACAAAAATCTGAACCCCAAAACCCTAAACCCTCAAATCTAAACCCTAAAACCCTAAACCCGATTACTAACCCGACTCTAAATCCTAAGCCGAACCAAGTCGCCAAGACCCTGCTTTGAGGGCTCCAGGCCGCTTTGATGAAAGGATTCCGCCGTCGGAAATTCTATGCTATAGTGAGTTATATGATACTATACTAGATTTTTATGCTAAAGTGAGTTGTATGATGATCTATTAGATTATTTTCATGCTGGTGTGTTCTACTATATTATAGTGTATTCTATTCGTTTAGGTTGTTCTGTTCTACTCTAAACAACTACCAGCTCGACATGTGCGTCTGTCATGGGGGTGGGGCTCAAAGATTGCTGTGCTTCTAATTTAGGGGTGCTGGGTTTGAGGTTTGGGGTTTAGGTGCATCATGGACCACCCTGAAGCAGGACGCTGTGTTTATGCATGTGCGGCGCCTCCTTCATGATCTCAACGACATGGAACTGAACATGAGGTGCATACTTCATTTCAGTCATCTCGTCATTCTACAAACTTCTTCTTATGCTACCACAATGAAGGGGAGCATGAACGGTTAGTCTGGTGTTATATACCCCCTCCACCCAGCAACTGTGCATGTAGACCAAGACCGGCTTATCACACAGTCCGGAACAGTCCATCCCTTGCCCCCCCCCGCCCCCCGAGCCCGCACGCGCGCGCACGTCCCTCTCCACTCCCGAACTGTATTCTAGTTCTTAAAGCCCATGAGTTACTTGAATGCTATGGTACACTCGAGGTAGTTGTGAACAAGCTTTCGAAATCGTGCGACCATCTTGGTTAATTACCTGGAATCCACGTTTATGTCCAGCAAGACACAAACCTACCCCTCAACCCTAACGCAGCAGGACGCAGCTGGCGCCGTTTCCCTGGACTCTTGGCTGCAATCATGGCTTTAGGGACGGACGGCTCCAAAAGCCAAGCCCGAAAGTCTAGCCATGAAGACCCGGTAAAGCCTCTGCAAAGACCGAAGCCCACAACCTTGACTGTGACCGCTTACACAACATGTGAAGCCGAGACGGTGCGCCCTAAACCCCGAAGCCTGAAATGCCCTCAACCTTAAAGCGAGTTAAGCCCTAAACCCTAAATCCCCGCACCATAAAGCCATACATCCGACACCGCAACCCCAGACATAAAAACCTGCAAGCCTAAGCCCTAAACCCTAAGCTTTAAGCCTCCACCCACACCGCTCAACCCCGAGACCCCCGGGTTCTTGAGCCCTAAAGTTCCGAAAATCCCGGAAGCTTTGAATCCCAGACCTTAAGCATCCTTGAACCCTAAAACCATCCCGAAACCCAGATCCTTATCTTTGAATCCTCAACCCTTAAAGGACCTTTACAAGAACTTTATAGGACTAGTCAAGGAACCTCTAAAGGAGCCTCATGGGATCCTTGACCTACAGTACCAGAAAGTTGGAGCATCATTATCCTCATGCACCTAGTATAAAGTATACATAAGTATACTATAAGGGCCTTAATATTTACCTATACTATTTTGTGGGTTCCTGATTACAAGTATAGTATAATTTACCCCTCAACCCTATTCTAGTTGTTCAGGCCCCTACATTAAGGGATCCTAGCCGTAATTTTCCTAAGTCCATGTTCCAACGTTCTGGGGTTCACTGTAAACCAAGCCCAGGCAGAGCTTGTCCGGCGGATCGGCTGGGCTTTGGCGCCTTAAACAGCACATGAAGCCAAACCCCAAACTCTAGACCCCTACAAGCCTAATTTAGGGTCTTTAGTTTTGCTTTGAGCAGGGTTTGGGGGTTATCGAATGCGAACGGACTGCGATGCCTTGTCAAGTTCCAAGGTGTCACTATAAGAGCTGTGAGCAAGACCGTGTGAAGTGCAAGGGAAGGGGGCACGCCACGCGTCCCTCGTCTCTAGGAGTAGGCTTGTGGTAGTGCTACGCACACCGCAATGCGTATCCATCCTTTCAGTATGACCGCCCATGCAACGTTTGGCTCAAGAATGAGCACAAGCTCTAGAAAGCATTGCCCATAGCTAAAGTGCTATAATCTTCTGTGATTCTCCGAGTAGACAGAGCTATCCCGTGCACAGACGATCCACCGCCGGCCGTGAGTGTGCAAAACGAGCGAACGTTGGATCTGCCTGCATAGGAGTGCGTGTGTGGAAGTGGAAGTAACGGTGATCCAGCTTGTAGAAGGCAACCACGCCAACAGTCAATACAGCTCTTTGTGGGGTGAGCGATAGAGAACATTACCAGGATCAAATCCCCACGCAGGTTATCAGCCGTACGCGGCTCTGCCTATTCTGCAGCAAAGACTACTTGATCTACTACGACCACAATGAACTCGGGATCAAGTCAAGATACGACAATGACTTTCGGTGCCGATGTGGCAGCGCCAGCCGTTGGTGAGTCAACAGCTGATGACACAGTGGTGCAATCCGTTGATAGCTCCACGGAAGATGACAAAGGTCAATCTTCTGCGCTTGCCATTGCAAAGGCAGTTCCCAAAGCGAAAGCAAAGAGTCTACCAAGAGCATCCACGCCTTCGCGTCCAACATCCACAGGTTCGAGGACGAGCAAGGCTCCAGAACGACGATCCGAAGCGTCTGGTTTTCAGGCACCTCGGACCCCGTCGAGGGCAAAGGACAAGGGAGTGAAGACTTTGGAAAAGAAGCCGCGACCATCATCTTCAAGAAGCTCTTCAGCACGATCAAGGACTTCGGCCACTCGTGGACGTGACAAGTCCATGACGTGGAATCGAATGGTTACCAATCAACCACGCGAAGCTGACGATCTGGATATGACTCTGGACACAATCCCTGCACGGGGTGACGCTTCGTCAGTGACTACACCAGCCATAGCCGATGGTCCGAATGCCTACCAGGGATTGACAATTCCGCAACAATTTGAAGCATCGAATCTTGCACAGCAGATGTACTATCGAAGTCAGGTGCAGGAGTACGAAGGTGTTGTCCAGACCCTGATGGAGAAGATCAAGGAGATGCAGCAAGAAGATGAAGGATCTGGGATTCGCATCGAAGAATTGGAACGACAACGTGACCATGCATGCTTAGCCATGAGGCACATCAACAATGTCAATCAGGAGATGAAGCGAGACTATGAAACAGCTTTGTTTCGCATGGATGAACAGAACTCTGCTCAACAACGTCAAGCACACGCCGTTGCCGAGGAACTGGCTCAGCAGCTACATGTGTTTCGCACGGAAGCAGCCACTAACTTTGTGCAGTTGGAGGCAAGAGCGCAGGGCGATGGTGAGCTTATGGCACGTGAGTATGAGCATCTGACTCATGAACTTCATGAACAAGCCAGAGAGAACTTGTTCCTCCGGTCGAACACAGCAAGTTCGGAACAAGCCTTGCAAGCGATGCAGGAACGATTCCACCTGGTCAGGAATCAGGAGTTGCGAGCCGTAAACGAGATTCAAGGGCTAGCTGGGAACAGCGCAGCCATTGATCAAGAACGACTTCGGCTTCGCGAACGTCTTGGTGAGGAGGAAGAGTACCGCAAAATGGCTGTGAGGAGGATGCAAGATGCAGAGGAACGACTCCATCAGAATGAGGATCATGCAAGGCGTGCATTGCCCACCTTGCACGACGAGCTGAGCGAATTCAGGAAAACGCTCAAAGCACAAGAAGATCTTCAAGCGAGGACACGCAGCGAATTGGAGGCAGCACGGAACTCCAACTACCATGGCGGAGCGACACGGCCTTCGAGCATGCCCATGTCTTCGAGGACTACTGAGTCTGGCTGGGAGCACGTAGGAAAGGAAGTAGTGCCTGCATTTTCCGTAGGAGGTGAGGTGCGATCCCCTGAAATACGGTCCCCAAGTCAAATTAGTCCAGTCGCCAAAGAGAAGTTCGCATTCTCAGAATCGGACAAGGACAAGAACCTTGCGATGGATGGCATCCCATTT